TCGAGTTACGAGACAAACGCCAAGATCATGCCTAAATTAAGAATTACAAGACTCGCACTTCGAATCTTGTCAGTTGAGCTCTAAAAAACTAAATATAACTTGCCTCTCATCAAACTGCACTGTTTTCTTTGTATTGGGAATCATTGGCCCAATAAATGATTAAGGGCAAACGATTGCTCCGCGAGAAACTGGCACTGTGATTCGCGGCTGACAGTTCACAAGAACAGCTGCGATGCCGGCGAGCCGAGTTCGATGACCGGCGGCCGCAACGTGGCCTGGCACGACGCTCACAGACGCAGGTGACCGCCTTCGGTGCCGGACGCCGCCACTCGCGGACGGAAAAGGGCAGTTCCTGCTACTATCTGCGACGATCCTGGAGAAGAAGTTTGGAATCTCATACAGAATTCCGTTATAACCTCAATTTTTACTCAGACAGGCACACGCTCTCCGTGAATTTTTAAGTGAAGGATGCAGAACTGAATTTTTAAGTGAAGATGCAGATAGAAAGTACCTTGCCAGTACCCTAAATATGATTTCTCTCCCATTAAACGGTGCACTTCTTTCTGAAGTTACTCTACTGAATGAATGAATAAACAAACGTTTACCGTGCGATTGATTAGTAATACAGTCAACTGCTAAGGTCATTAGTCTCGCAAAGTGTAGTGAATGTTGCTGTCGCGAGAGGTGGCGCGATCTGCTCCCACTAGATGGCGAGATCCGGTGCCGACCTACGTCTGTACCTCCCAACAGTGGAACACGCCCCAGCCGGGACAAGCTCTAAACTCCCGACCGGCCTCCCGGTATGTGTGGTAGTGTAGTGCATGCTATTGAATGTGCATGTTACATGTAAGTCTGTGTAAGTAAGGAGTGAGAATAGGAAAAGGAAGAGGGTGGAAAGATCGCGCGCGCTCCGTGGCCCCTTAGCATTAGTGTGTGGTAGTGTAGTGAATGTAAGCGTGTCCCTAAGTAAAGGGAGAGAATACACGAAGGAAGAGTCCGTTTGTTAGGGTACTGCTCCAGCATTCTGGTGTTGATCGGAGAAACCCCCGGAAAACCACCGATCCGAGCAGCCGGCCACTAGAATTCTGCTGCAACCAGCTGCTGAACTAGACGTAGCTTGTGTCGAAAATCCTGGCACCAGACTCAAACTCTACGACCTCCCGATGGGAGGCATTGCAGTGACATCAATTTATAGACCGCGCCACCTAAATTGATTCCACCGTGCGAGGAACGCGACAGCGCCCCTCGTGGTTCGCGGCTGGCAGCTCACAAAATCCGGTGCGAGGCACGCGTCCCGACTTCGATCCCCGGGGTGTGGGGTGGCGTGTCACCGACCCGGGCGCGCACCTTCGGAGCCGGATACAGCCAGTCGCGGCCGGAGAAAGGGAGCCCCGGCAGCCCGAAGCCCGACAGAAGTTCCGCTCGACCGGCACCTCACGTCGGAACGGCTTCGTCACACCGCCTGTCCCGGAAGGTGAGGAAGTTCCACCTTGTAACGGAAGCGAAGAGCCCCCCTCAAAGTCAACGACCACGCCTCTGCAATCCCCCGGCGCCAGGTCGACGAACTCGACAGGCCTCGCGACAAAGCAAATCGCTGCAGGTGATGGACGGGGGCGTGATTTGTGGAATCATTGCGAAGAGAAAAGAAGAAGTACTGAAACGTGCAATGAAATTGAATTGTTGGTCCTTCATGTTCAACAGCGAAAGATTTTTGTATTGTAACGTGCTGATTCGACAAACATAATTCGAAAAGTTTTGAAAATAATAACACCTAATAAAATTTACAAATGTTTCGTCAGTGTAACAGTGCATCTAAGATCATTTCAAGTATTTAAAAAAAAATTAAATTCTAATTTAAACTTATATCCACAATCTTGTACATACTACACGCATCACAATCATGTGTAAAAGAAAATCAATATTAATTTGCAGGATGTTTCCAACAGGGCATTGCACATATACTAGGGACATTTTTTATTGAATATATTAAAAAAAGGTGAGATCTTGCACCATTTTACAAAAAGAGAAAGCTAGCAGGTGAAGTGGGTTTCGTGAAAGTTCTTTTGTTTATTTGAGTCTTCGAGTATCATTCTGACACTTCATTTTCTTCTCGTTGTTCAAATTATTACACTTATATTTCTTCGTAAAATATGTTCATCATAACATATTGTACCATGGAAGACGTTTAGACTAACCTAATGTATAATAAAGTGCTTCAGAAGGTACTACATATTTTGTACTTCTTTCAAGAAAGTTTAACCAAAAACTAATTCATAAAATAAATGACCTTTTTACGCAGTTAAAAAGAGGAAACAACCACGATATATCCTATCGTAAAAATAAATGTAATCACGCCATTTAGAATTACCTTTTCAAAGGTAGTGAATTCACATTTAAGATTGCACTCCCTTCATACCATACCAGTCACTGTTAAAAAGATATACTTAATGAATTGTACCTAAATGCCTTTCTACGCTTTTGGCTGACTTTCAAGAGAATGCAGTGGATTTATGTTGTGAATACACCGTGACACATCAAATCTGTGTCTACAGAAAACATATGAGTGGTAACTCTTCACTCTTGCAAATATCCACGTCAGTATTTAACTACATATGTTAAGAAAAAGAGGTCGGCAGTATACAGGGAATTAATAACTGTTCGACGAATTAATCATAACTCACTCAGTACTTGCAAAAGATTTTATTTGATATTATTTAATTAAAAGCCCGAACACTAACTGCCAGTATGCAATCTCGAATATTTTATTTAGTTGCCCATTATATATACATCTTGATATGAATTAGGATGAAAGGCCTTGACTTCAAGGGTTTGAATGATAATTTTCTACGATATAAAAATCAATCGTCCATGATATTCACTCCAGAGGATCTAATCCACGCATCAAAACCTCGAAAAACGCATACTTCGGTAGTCAACAGAAAATTCCTCATAGAAAACTTGTCGTTAGAATACCAACAGATTAGAGTCTAAACTCAACACTTCACTAATTAAGATAGTTACGATTACATCTAACACGCTCACAAATAGACACACGGAAGCGACTAGAAGTAGTCTACCCTGAAGAAGTACTCTGTCATGAGCTAGCACGTGAGTCCGGCAATGCGAACCTACGATTAACCTCAACTCTTCATTCCCTTCAGTATTACCCATTCTCTTCCCCATCCCCTAACATACGTTGTTTTCTTAATCCTTGCTTTTTCCCGTTTTTAAGTGGTCGGCAATAATGGGGGCGGGCTCATTTTTATTAATTTTCGGCACAAACCATTTTTATACTTATTTGGCGATGATATTTACGGCCGGATATATTTTCTGACATAGGGACACACGACCACAAATTTCACATAGACAACACACACTATCACGAAGTGCACACAACCATATCCAAGGAGAGATTCGAGTCCACAATCCTTCGGTTCGAGATCGCCTCGACACTATTGCCTTAGCGATCCCGGATCGGCAACCCCCAACACAGCGTATAATGAACTGTAGCAGGAGACGGTTGACTGAGAGGGAGGCAGTGCCGCGTCACTGGGCTCTCCCAAACGCACGTCAGAGCCCGTCAGGGCCCGTCAAGGGTGGGCGCGCGCGCTTCCGAGCGCCGACCTGCCCGGCGCGAAGGAAAGCGCGGCTGACGCAACGCTCGGTGCGTGGCCCCAGCAACCGCCGAACGGTTTCCCTCGCCACCACCACCACCACCACCACCACCCGCCACCGCCGCCGTCCTCGTCGTCATCACCGTGGTGGTCGGTTTCTCCTAGTTTTTTTCGCAAGGCGCACGTTGCTAACGAAGTTCGGTTGCCAAAGGGCTACGAAATTGCTCGGGTGCTCTTTGCCAAAATGTCGAAGTTGTTTAGGCGGAACTCGACGCGTAGCTAAATAGATCTCGTGCTTAAACCAGGAGCGGCTGTTCGATGTTCTGTTGCGGAGATTGTTACGAGAGTCTCTGGGAAGCTTTCTAACGTCGGCGTCACTTTCGGTTGCTTGTCTGAGGCTAATTCCAAGGATCTCAACGAGATGAAACGCTGAGGTGTGAAAACAAACATTTGTTAAGGCATGGAAACACTATATGTATTTACGTTCACAACCGACAAATAGTGAGATGTAGAGTACGAATATTTAAAAAAAATAGTGTCTTTGCGTATCTATGCTCCATATACTTGCACACTCTATGAGTAATGCTTCCGACAGCTCTTGTAATGCTACGGACGTACAAACTCACGGTCTCCTTCTAGCCTACATCGAGTAGTGTCGGGAAAGAAAACCATCAGAAGTAACTTCACCGTTTTCCAACTTGGTGAAATCGCATGTAAATAAGAGGATTTCGACAGAAAAATAAAAGTAAAAAAATATGAATAAAAACAACAGCTATTTTTCAATTTCTCAATCTAAATCCCGCCTAATGGTATTTCGTGTGTAAAGCCTCAAAGCGTTCAGGGCGACTTTGATTACGTATTGCTCTCTTGTGGCGTGGTGCTCAACCGCGTGGATGGGCGATTTCGTGGTGCTACGACTGCCACCACGGACTGCCGCTAGTGGCATCAACTTTGACATCACTGCTAGTCTGACGGTCGAATAGGCGTTTCTACGTTTATTTGAGAAGCCAATTTACAAGATCGCTCTGTCGAAGTATACATTACTTCCATTCCGGACATAGTTTCGCCCGTGTGCGTGGCCTTGCCCATCTAACATTGAAAGATGGATAGGGGAAGTCTTAGAATGTCAGAGGTTTCCTTCTCTCTGAAGATATATAACTTGCACACAATGACAGAAAATTTACGAATTAACACAAATATGAAGTTTGAAAACAATTAACTTTCAAATACTATAGTGTAATAAATAAGCGCGAATGAGAGCAAATGTTCAATGTTAAAGAAGTTAGATTAGTAGTTATCAAATTTCCAAAAATCCTTACTCCTTACTGCCTTCTACCAAAAATACCCTCTGAATCAGCCTTACACATATGGTTGATTTTGTTACAGCTCTGAAGTTTACGTATCCTGTAAATCTGAAGCCCGACGTTTTCGTCGCCTCCAGAATGCTGTCCAGATGCGCTTTCGCTGCTCTGTGCATCGCTGTGATCGCAACTCAAGGTTTTGCGTTTCCACAGGACGATAAGAAAAACGAACTGGACAATGTGATTTCGGAGGTGAGTTGTGCGCTCTGATGTAAGCCAAGAAACAAAACAGCAGTTTTTGTATCTTATATGTTACTCATCATTGGTTAATTAACTTTTAATTATGTATTTTTATATAATTATTAATTGATATATCATTGATTTATTGTTATTTTATCATTCTAATGTATTGAATAGAATACATTCCAAGAGTAATTTGGTAGTATTTTGTTACAAAAACACTACATGGAACTGTGTGTCTGTATTTGTTCCGAACGAAACGGCTCCCAGGTAGATGGTGGAGTTGGTTCAGCTTGATCCTAAATTTAATCTTAATTTTTTATTACTAATGTTAAAGTGAACCATTTCTAACCAATGCAATCGCACAATGCACTTGAATGGGCCTTTTATTGTGCTTCTATTTTGAGATTGTACTTGCGTTAAACCCACGAGTTAACATCACTACAACAAGAAAAATAATATAGTTGAATAACAATGAACCTAAATTGCTATTTAATGATGTGTTGTGATTATTATAAACTAGTATCTTATACTTTTAATAATATTATGTAAGAATAATACATAAAACGAGCAGGAGAATACACGAAACGAGAGGAGCTGTTACCCCACCAAATCGCACTGTACTTGCACATATGATATCACATTTAAAGCAACACTGAGAATTTCTGTTGTAAATGAACAATAAGAGTTATTTTTATCATTTAGTTTCTTTGATATTGTATGATCAGTGTGTAAAAACACGCCCCATTTGATATAATTGCTTAAAATTTACATTGAATAATCTTACTGACTACTAGGGTGGCCTTGGCATCGGAATCTGAAAATTTGCTTGGAACGGGAATTTGCTTTTAATATGAATTTTGAGTAGTGGATCTTGGCAAAATTTTAGAGGAGGTAAATTGATTATGCTAGGATGGGATGTGGATGGATAAAAAACTGGTTGGTTAGAGGATATAACTGAAATTCTTTGTGAAGTGCTGCATTGGAGAAAAAACCATGTGGCGTTCGTAATTGTGCGGAGGAGCTGATTTCTGTGTTTTGATATGCAGTACTTAATAAGTAATATAAATGTAGGAGTACTTGAAGTTTGTTTGTATTTGATTTGGTGGTGCCAATCCATACTGACCATTCATAAAAAAGAAGTTGTCTTATTCCAGTTTTTTAAAAGTATTAAAAGGGCTATTGTACGTATTAGCAGATCTTTGCTTATGGGCCAAGCTGTATTATTTGAATTTTGCATGTATAACTTTATTATTTATATGATAAGTTGAAATAGATATGTAAGTAAAGCCCTAATTACTTTATGAGTTTCTTGGTGACAGGGCAGGTTCTTGGTTAAGAGGATGGGCAGGGAAATACGTATGCCAACTTCAGTTGACAGTTTTACGTTTTAATCAGAGAAATTTAAGTTCAGATATCAATTATGAGGGGAGAAATACGTACAAAATAATTGATGAATACTTCAAATTTCAACAATTAAAGCCAATGTCAATATTTAACAAATTACGTCACGAATAAGGTTATGAGACGCATAACCATCGCCCCAGACAAGCGATACGAGACGTGTGACATCTTAAAAGATTTCAGGAGTCATCCTACGCTGCATATGGCTCATTAACTCTTCGTAAAACTATCCTTCGAATTTACGCCAATATTGTATGTCAATGTTACGTTTAAAACGTGACATTCAAAGTTGAAAAGAGAAATCTTCAATGTAAATATCTTGTAGTAGTAACTTAACCTGTGTATGACACACGTTATGTGTGTGATGGAAGCAAATATACATACAAATGTTCATTAATAGACTATGTCAATACCACAATACTTTTTTTCTGGAAATATTTGTTATTTTAAAATTGCATTATTGCTCCCTTTCTATACTATATTTTACTTGTAGTTGATGAAACGTGTACTAATGTCCATAGTAGTCATTGTTTTGTTAATCACTTGTTAACATTCTCCAACATTATGTGGAAGGTTTGAATATGTCAGAAGTATTTATTTTGAAAGAGTGAAATAATGTAATTGGCGAAATTACTTGTAAACAAAAGGTCGCATTTTACCGGGAAAACGAAATATAAATGTGGCGGTTTATATTGCTCTTAGTCCAATTTCACGAATTTGAAGAATTTAACCACTTTGTGTTTTTCCTGAAACCATTACCACTACAAGGTTTCCATTCAAAACAAACTAGTTAAAGACAAAATATAACATCCTACTGGATAATGTGTGGAAAGAAAAAAAAATGCTTAGTTTCATACTCAAGAGTAAAAACCATAGGTTTCACCATTTCTTGTTGGTAATTCCCCAACAATGAATTCAAAGATGTTTTACACGTTCAACTAAGTTATCTTTGTACCAAGTATTCAGACACAAAAGTAATTAAAATTATGAACGGCGGCAATTTGTATGTTCAAGAACCTCTCTTAATCACATACAAGTACATAGCCTCCTTCGGCGGTCCATATGACCCCGCTTTGATTGCACTGTAATAACCGCTCAACGTACTTCACTAATGGCTTACTTTCCCCTACCTGACACAATAAACAGTTGAAGGTAAACGCTCTCACTGACGCTAGCCCTGATGACATTTCAAACACTTCTTCACTGGCGCGTAATAAAAACATTTTGTGTTTTAGACTGGTACTCCTGTCCGTGTTTTTCTCAAAAAAATCGAAAAAAATGACCGAATAAGGTCAAGATCCATCACAGAAGATATTTCGGACTCCTAGGAAAGTTAGAATGCATATTATTGAGAAATTATTGAGAAAGTTGCGAAGGTGTGATTGATTTTTCAGAGAATGCCATTGCTTCATAAAATATAGTGACCGATTTTGCCACTCAACCCACATTTCTACAAACCATCGATCAAGAAAAGTTGCGCGAGTAATGCTTGCACTTGTTATATCAGACTTCAAAGCAGCTCTGAGAATTTGTCTTATGAACGAGCTTACGTTGCCAGTTTTTTCGTTTTTAATCAAAGAAGTTGAAAGATATATTTGAATGATTTAGAAGGAAGAATGTTCTACATATTGGATGAATAAGTTGAAATTTCACAATTAAAAACTTTAAAAATCATTTTAAACATGTCTTATAAAATAGAAAATTCTTAGACGTTTCTTCTTTTACTACTTCCAACGATGTAAATAAAAATTAAAATCAATTCACAATCATCACATTCATTGATATGTTGTTATATGTCTCTTCATGTTCCTAAAACAAATATTTAACATGAAAATAACTACGACTCTCTTAAATGAGACTCATTGGTTTGCATCAATAGAAGTTAAACACATAAATCTGTAAAATAAATCATTTAAGATGTTTTAAGAATAATAACGGCCTATTACGTGCCTATAATTACAAAGATGTACAATCATGTATGTAAAACTTACTGTGATCCAGACATCATTCTAGAAGCTGTTTGGTTCTCTTGACAACTTAATTTCATTTTATCCAAACAGATTATTTTAATCCTTTGAAACGTTTTCGCTTTTAATTGAATGAATCTTTCATTGACATATGCAAATTAATTGTGTTGCATAACAACTCATAAGTTAATCCTAGACTTAAGTTTCTAAGTTATTTCTCCACAAGCTGCTAATTTTAACATTTTCTTATCTGATTATTAATTTTTTTTATTAGATTTCACTAATCATTAATTCCAGATTATTCATTTTTTTAATCATATTTTTTGGGATTCTTAAATGACTTTTCACTTTTTCATTCCCACGTTTCTAATTTACTCAGTCTGGTGCATCCTAGTTAACATTCTAAATCATGTCTTGTGGGTTTTGAATATGATATTGGACTTGCAAATTAGCCTGTAAACTTTTTTTAAGGTTACTTTTCAACAACTTTGTCATATAGAGACCACTATAGTCTTTTTAACTGTGGGGGAACTGTAGGGTGAGCACGTACGGTCAACACAAACACACACACACACACAACATCCATGCCGAGGGATTAAAATCCACTACCCTTCGAGCCGAGATAGTCTTAGTGACCCTGGGTATTTAATAATAATAATAATAATAATAATAATAATAATAATAATAATACTAATAATAATTTCTTATTGATATGGTGAGGCTCGGGCTATCGGGCCCGCTCTTCCGCCTAACCACAATTTAGTCCGGCTCTTGTGTACGTTCTCTTACTGTCCCCACGAAAAATGAAAACCCGCCTTACCTGTACGTGTCGCCGTAACGCGGTCTCGCTTTGGCAGACGGACGACGCCGAGCCAGCGGCGGTGGTGGTGAGCAAGGCGAGCGAGGTGAGCGAGGAGGGCGACGCGAGCGAGGTGACGTCGCCGCCCGCGCCCACCACCCTCACCGTGGGCGTCACCTCCGAGGCGGCACCCTCCAGCACCGCGGCGTCGCCCGCCAAGGACCACGCCCCCTCCGCCTCCACGCCCCGGCCCAGCGCCGCCCACAACTTCTCCCGCCTCATCGACGACATCTTCCAGGTACGCACAGCGCGCCCTAAGACACCGAGACAGATGTTCGTAGCTTAGTCTAAAACGGTTTGATTTATTTACATATGTGTTCAAATTATTACACTAAAGACATTTTTCGTAAAAGAGTTTCATTTATTGCACTTCACATTCGTGTACATGTTACAGTCATACATTTATTACTTACTGTTAGTATGGGTCTCTTTGTTCATAATCAACAACTTAATTCTGTTTGGCATAATGTTTACTAACTTTTCACTTGAGTTTTTAATTCTATCGTTGCGGAACCAAATCTCCTCTAGTTTGTCCACGACTTATTGTATATTTCCTTATTCTTTTCTTGGTAATACCCCATAAAGTTTCTATAGTGTTCAAGTCAGAGCTATTCCGTGGACATGGTAACACTTTAAATTGCTTTTCTTCCAAATTCTTGATGACAGTTGTCTTTGCGGTACTGTGCATCATCATGCATAAAAATGTCATCTTCATTGGGGAACCACACAAATTTTGGGGGAAAAGTTCCTTTTCCAGGAATTTTTTGCATTATTGCCTCATTGTCCCTTCGACAATGTGCAATCTGACAGGATCTTTCACAGACGTCACTCTTAACAGAGTTTATCTCCAATTATATCATGGAACATAGGAACGACTTGTATGGAAAAAAAAGTTGTTTTAACGTCCTTCGGTTAATCCGTTATTTGTGGAAGTCAAGTTGCAGTATTTTACTACGAAACCGTAACAAATAATGCCAACAAGTATGTGCTCTTTTGCGAAAGTTATATGTGGTTTGTGTTCGTAAATGTAAAATTATTCTTATTTAGACGACATTACAACTACATAAGGCACAAACTATCCAAAAACTTACCAACCGTAAACGCAAGTAAACTCGTTACGAGTCAAATTAAGTTAGAAATTTACACAGTACCGACACAAAATACATTCCCCATAGAGACATTTTTAGTTACAATTTTTTTCTACATTTAACCAAAATCCAAAAAAATAATAGCTTTGAAACAATTAACTTTATAGAAAATAAAATATTTAAATAGAAAAAAATATTGTAATAGAATAGTTAAAAGAAAAAAAAATTGATAAAATTTTTAAAGAAGAAAACATTTTGAAGAAAATATCTAACAATATATGTAATGTATTTTATTTTACGTTAAAATAATATAATAATATTTTATTATTTGCGTCGAGTTAACTTTTTGATATTGGTGATATCTTGTTAGAAAGGAGAATTTGGTGGATAAACGGCGAGCTAAAGGTGTTTTAATACACTCTTACTCTTAAATTCCTTTCCACCAGTCTTTGGTTAAGTTAAACTGATTCTATAATGAGCTTTAATTGCTGCAAAATGCAAGTATAATTTGTCTAGTAACGAAGGAAAACTCCTACGAAATCCCCTCGTATCTTAATAATTATTCACGCCGTAAGTATCGTAAAACATCTTATTACAATAAGAATATCGTGCAACGTTATAATTTTCGTTTAAATTTGACTATTTGTCCTGCAAAACGTAACATATATATAGTACGGAGTTGCTCTACAGCTGTCGCCGTTTCTCCGCTCTCAGTCTCCATGCCTCTCTATTGGACCATAGATCATCTGGCATTTCTCTTGCCGTCATAGCCTCTTGCACTCCCTGGTGCCATGCAAGTCTGGGTCTTCCTCTCTTCTGTCTTTCTGTCGGCACCCATTTCAGGACTCGTTTTGGCCATCTTTCGTCTGTCATTCGCATAACATGACCGTACCAGACGATTAGTTTTTTCTCTATTTCGTCAAGGATAGATTTCTTGACGTCCATTTTATTTCGTCGTTCCTGATTCTTTCACGTCTGCTATAACAGCAGCTAACGTAACATACTGAGGTAAATAGTAGTTAATAGTAGTGAATGCATTCATTTTAAATAGATGCCAGCAGCAGTAAAAATGCTGCTGAATAAAACCTCACAAAACGTTTTCCCAGAAAGTAGTACACACAGTTCAAGAACAACAAATAAAATACTCTCGTATAAGGCTGCAATAAATTAAATATTTCCCTATCGATCTGGCTGATGTTGCGACCACTTGAATTTGAAACTGATATTTCAATTTAGGGGGTACTTTACAAGAAGTCGCTTGAACATTTTACAAATTAAAAACAAAATGGCTCCAAAGTTTTTGCTGATATTTTTTGTTGGATAATGTGAAGGACGTTTAAGAGAATGGTGCACGTTTTAGTGTCGTTTAAAACGCTGATTTTTCGAAAATTGCAAAAGTTAAAACTTTTTCGGAGTCTTCTTACAGCAAAAATATTAGATGGTGATTTTTTCCCTTAATGAAATCTGTTCCTTAAAGATAGATTTTAAAATAAGGTGTTCTACAAGTGTTTTGAAAATTTGAGCACTTTTTGCGTAAGTTTGAGTGAAATAGGACGATAAAGGATGTGCTGTTTCAGCACTAGCTTACGATTTTTGTCAGTCCATCGGGTCAAAACTGATCTCAAAGGGGTTTTCACTAAAATTGTTGGAATATTCAAGCTCAATTTAGTATCTTTTATAAATATTTTTATTTTCTATTGTATGTAGTAGAATTATTTTTAACAAATTTAGAGTTTTATTTATAACTTCATTAAGTTCCGGAAAAATGTCCTTGCATATTTCATAAATATTGGAGACATTCGCCAAAGTGCATCCGAATTTCGTGAAAGCCCATGTAAGTTTTTCTAAAAGCATAATGATTCATAGCTATTGCGCGATTAGTCTGCGTAATTGAAGGTCAAAGCTGAAACTTGGTCCTCGGGAGGAGTGACACGGCGGGGGACGGACGGGGAGAGTGGGGGAGGTGGGCGGAGCGGGATGGAGCGCCAACAAGTTGGAGCGCAGGCGAAGATAGCAAATGCGAAGTGGGCTGAAGCGTGAGAGCGGGTGGGCGCCATGGAGTAGGACGGGGCGGGGGGCGGCGGGCGTTGGCGGGGCTGGGGCGGATATGGGTGGAGAGGGAAGGAGTGGGGTGGGATAGTTGAGATGTAATTAGTTTATTTAAGGCATGAACATCGTAAGACGTTTTATTACAAAACGAGTTTGATAACCAGTCGAGTATTGTAATTGTTACATATGTAAATGTTACAGTACATTATAAATGTTCTATGTAAACGTTACGGTACGAATATCGTAAGTTTTATCACCATTGTAAAAAATCTAACGAACTATAATTTGCTTTGAAATTAGAATTTTCGACCTGCGAAAGGTGGCATACTCATGTCGAAAGTAGTTAACAATCGGCCATTGATTCGTTTTAATATTGCACAACGAAACTGACTGTAGTGGTCCTAGAACACTTGTTGCGTAATAACTCTTATTATCTCCCTGAGCTGAGTTTCGACAAAATTGACTTTAGATATCAACATAAATATATGAAAGTATTTCCATTTCACACAATATTGACACAATTTATTCCTTTTTCTTTAAGTGTCATAAATGGATAAGCAATGGCGGTGTAGTTGCTCTTGATTTGAATATATTTCTAGGATTCTAAAAATTCCACGTCCTTTATACCAACACACTTACTAAATAAAAAGCCTCACTTTTCCTTACCTTAATTTAAATGCCATTATTTATTTTATAATTATCCCAAACTTAATTTTAATTAAAATTATAATTTAACGATAAGTGCCTATAAAATAGAATTTAATATAAAATGTATGGTTATAATGCATTCTTATTTTTTATGATTACAGATTCCCATCAGCGTACTGAAAGCTGTGAACACACTACTCTCGAATCCGTTCAGGTCGAAACTCGGCTCTCATGAGTAATCACATGAAATGTCAACATTTTTCATGTGTAATATGTTAAGTTTTTCCTTATATATGATACCATCACGAAATCACGTCATGTCATTTTAGAAGTGGATGCAAATTTCCGGTTGTTCAGGAACCACTTGCCATAAATCATCTCATTCCACGGTGTGCGCTTAGCGTTTAAATTAGTGCACGTCACCATTCATCACAACTCGTTGACAAGTGTACACGCTTATGCGTTCGCACAAAACCATACACATCAATCGCTGGAAAGTCTGTGCCTACGTATGCAATCATTCGATTGCAATTTAATTATTCAGACATGTAAAGCACCAATGTCGTAATCTCACTAATTTTGTTACAAATACATCTGTAGTAATACCTAAAATATTTTAATAAAGATTTTGTAACGAACACTTTCACTCAATCTTTTTAAGAATGGTGGATGCACAAGAAAAATGACACTTCCAAAAATTGCCTTAGAGCAGTGGAACGTGCAATTAATCTTACTGGAAGAGGTTATTTCAAGACTACACTTACAGTAAAACAACTGGAAGTGCACGAAATGTTTTATTCTATATTCCGGATGTCTTGAGAAATGTTATAATAAAATTATCAATAATATAAGTATACAATTTTTATTCACTCGTTAAATATGAACTTTTCTTCTCTTAACTCAAATACGACTATTTTTCAGATGTGCCATTATTTTTGTGCATCCATGGTATTGGGATTTTTATATTTTAAAAATTTCAGATTTTCAGAATGTTGAGAATGAAATAAAGTGAGTATTTCATAATAATATTACTCAATTAACTCTCAATAATATATTAATATTGTGACATTTGTCTAGATATCGCCAGTTGTATTCAAACTTCAATAGATCATTTGGATACTACAGCTCTCTACAAATTAAGGGAACTATTGAGTGACTACCTTCCGAAGGAGTATGACTGTACTTGAATTATACTATACGAAGAAGACTAGACAGATTATCAGGTCAAGACATAAAATTAATTAAATATTAAATCCTTGCCTGGAGATCCACTGGCTTGGGGCTGGTGGCCAAAGAACACATGACCTACAAGGCTGTGGTTTCAACCCCGCATAATTCATAGGAGCTTTTAGTTGCGATTTTGTAATGGAGGCATTCCCAGTCCCCCTTGAATAACCCTTAACTCCTGTTCTATCCTTTTCCTTGGCGTTAACCGGTAACGGAAATACGACGCTGTGAGTCTACGAACTACGGCCATGTGAACTGATCACCTACTCCCGAAGAAAGATGCTAGCACCGAGAGGGCTTACTGAAATGTGGCGGAGGAGGGCAATGTGGCTTCTTCGAAGGTAAGGCTTCACGTGAGCTTCACCCATCCGAGTAGCGTGATCGCATAGCTTCCCCTAGACACTTCAAGGCGCCGGTCACACCACGAACTGACAGCCGGGCAAAGGTCGATCAAACCATAAAGGTGACCTATAAAGGTGTAAACGGAACCATCTACACAGGTGCTCTAATACAGTATGACAACACTAGCACCGATAGCCATTAACTTACGGTATTTATGAAGAGGGGGAGTAAGTTGGTAACTGGAGGGTTTAATTCTAAGCGGTTACCGCTAAATTCCCTGACTTTCAATAATGTACCTACATCCGTCCGTCCTTCACTTCCGGTTACACCTTCCCATCAATGAGGTGTTATTCGTCGTGGCACGGTCTACTCATGGGGTACTGCTAATTATTTTGTATATCTACAAAAGTCAAAGAAATTTCTTTCAAAACCCTGTTTTTTGGGTTAAACAACTAACGCGCTTTTGAATGACCTGCAGCAGCTAGAGAGTTGATGTCATTTCATTCCTCTCGACTAGAAAAATCGACCGTGACAATTCTTAGCTCATTATCAGATTATCTCAAGAATACTCTGGAAGAATTTAAAAAAGAACGTATTTTATGGTTTCTATACGCACCTATGAGTATCAGTGAAACGCTATGAATTACTAAAATCTCTTTCGAACATTTAACTACATAATCTCTTTCGGACATGAACCTTCAACGACATTACACTCATCAGATTGACGATCATTAAAACCAATTTTGTAAATAAACAAACATTTAAACATGTATTTTAATCGACAACTTTTTTCTTGTAACTTTATATGCCAGAAATGGATGACTCGGACAGCTGTAATGTGTTTAAATTTATTTTTATTACGAGCTCGGAGCACAAATAAAACTTTTTAAAAGAAATATACCAACTGGATGCGCTACGATAAGCTTATGTTAAACATACTGTGACTCTACGGGGATGGAGTTTGTACGTCTACTGCTCTGAACAGAGGTTTTCTTGCTTTCCCTGATCACTGAGATGGTCTGCGAGCGCTACTTCATCACTCTTCCTGTTCCCCCTCACTTCTGTTCTGAGGGCGCGGTCAGATGGAATGCGTGTTCGAATGCACCAAGGCGCGCGGGGCGCAGTGATTTTTCCCTACTGTAGTGGTCACTCTGCATTCGAACGCATCAGACATTATCTTAAATATGTCGTATAATCGAGATCATTATCATCGTATTGGCGATATGTAATGGAAACGAAAATATGCAAACTATTCGCTGAGAAGTAAATTTGAGATGAGGAATGTTTGGTAGGGCAGGTGACATTCAAGTACATGTATTCAGAGTGCTCAGCTTGCAACTATTCAAAATATACAAAATTCGCTCTTAATGAACGACATGTGACTCGTCTTTGATATGTTACTTGACAAATGAAAATAGGGCTTCGAAATCGGTTCACAACATTTGAATGTCGCTATATTTTTAAAAGAAAGAACGCAAATTTCACAAAACCATTAGGAATGTATAAACGTTTCGCAAAAACTATTATTCATATCTCCTCACATTTCATAACACAATTTCTTCCTGATGTTCCTATTGCGGTGTCTTGAATAGGGTCGTTCATGAACTAACGAAATAAGATTGTCAACTTCATTGCTAAATGAATTGATTCAGCAGAATAATCAAATTAACGCGACACCGTTCAACGAGTAATGAGCGCGACCGTATTCGTCCGAACACACAGACGCAGTGTGACTTTCCGAGTGAGTGATTAATTGATTAGTGATTCTGAGCGCGTGAACTGATAATGTAATTAGTCCCGTAAGTATATCGCATGTTTTCCTTAGGGTGTGTCTGTGATCTTCCCCCACTGGATGGTGAGATTCGGCGCCGACCTATCTGTGGGCTAGTGGGATACCCCCAACCAGGCATCTCCCACCGCGGCAGACGCGAGAAGCTTTAAGCTCCCGGAATGTGTGGTAGTGTAAGGGTTGAGGATAGGACAAGGAAGAGGAAGGAAAGATCGCGAGCGGTCTGTGGCCCGTATGTTAAGATACTGCTCCAGCATACGCCTGGTATTGATCGGAGAAACCACGGAAAACTAGCAATCAGAGCAGTCGCTCACTAGAATTAACCTCCAGTCAACGGCTGAATACGCGGAACCAATGAATCAGGAAATATGATGCACTTTTACACAACAATCGCACGTTAAAGACTAAACATTCGTTACCCGTTACTAATAGTCTATTTGTGTCAATGGGTACCTAGGTAAGTATTGCTGTAATTTTTATTTTTACTTCTCGATGCCTGTAGGCCCCTCCCCTGTTAAAGGTACGTTTCCTACAACTAGCTTCCGTGATATCTGTCAATCTCCCTATCCATCTCCCTATCCATCTCCCTATCCATCTCCCTATCCATCTCCCCAATGAGCAGAATATCCCTAATGGCATTCATTACCTACAAAAGTATTTGAATTTGCCTCACCAATAACAGCAAAAAAATGGTTGTACAGTAACAAATGAATTATTCCAAACGTTTCTTCTTGGATTATTCCAATTCTTTCCATTTAATTGCCGTGGAAAAGTAAATAGGGAAATTAAATTTGTTGAGGTGACAACATAATGCCAACGATCCATGTTTAATTTCTTGGTTTACAGTAAGCTAGGTGGGAAAAATAATAGTGATAATTAATACCAGTCTCATTTGCAGAACACAGGTAGAAACTTTAATCAAAATTACTAAGTAATGCGTAAGTAACAATAGTGACAATCAACAGGGCACTAGAAGCTAAATGAG